GCTAAGCGCACTTTGCAAGGAAGAGAAAACTACAGTTAGGTATAACAAACGTTTATAAAGAGATTTGAAATATAATGACAGTAGATAAAACATGATCTACAGTATGCAATAATGGAATAAAACGAATGCAATGGGGAATCTTGGAACCGCAATTTATCTAGACAAGGGCCGGTATTAAAACTAGTGAAGGAAAATTTTGAAACTTTTTGCGTGTAAAGAGGAAGGTGAGAAGATCATTTTCCCAAAGTTTCAAACTTTTCCAGTGAAAAACAGCAACATGAAAAATCTTGGAAATCAACCTTTAAAAACTGAATTAGTTGAAAATACAGTCTCACACATTTCAAAATTTTCCTGGAAAACTAGTGAAGGGAACATTTTGAAACTTTTTGCATGGAAAGAGGAAGGTGAGAAGCTCATTTTCCCAAATTTTGAAAATTTTCCAGTGGAAAACAGCAACATGAAAAATCTTGGAAATCAACCTACAAAAACTGTATTCATTATTCTTTTGAATTTTTGGACAATTTCCTTTAAATTCCTCACAAATTCTTCCAAATTCTCCATAAATTCCTCCAAATTCCCCAAATTCTCATAAATTCGTATGAGTTCCTACAAATTCCCCACAAATTCCTTTAAATTCCCCACATTTTTGGCAAAGAATTCCTAGGTGGTTTGCCCCTTGATTTAGACATATTTAAAAGAAAACAATTCATGAGCCGAGAATAGACAACAAATTAATTAAGTAATAATTCCTCATTCAATTCCTGCGAATTCTGTACTACACAATTCCTCTCTGGTTCACCCCTTCAGATTCCATCAATAACAAAATCCCGGTTGTAGAATTTCGGTAAAAATGCCGAAGGCCAATACGATCCCAGACTAATCAATTCCTTCATTAACTATTTGGACAATTTACTGGACAACAATCAACATCCTGTTATCGTATTTTGCTGCACCAACTCCAAAACCATTGCTCCAGAACTCAAACGAATATTTTTGGAAATATTTGAAATAAACGCACCCACTGATTCAAACAGAGAGAAAATCTTGCAATGGATTTTAGAGAAAAACGCCATCAACTACAATGAAGTTGATTTGAAACTTGTTGCCAACAAAACCAATGGGTTTTATTTTGAAGACTTAAACGCCTTAGTGTATCATGCAGATAGAAATAATCTAGACTTTGAAAAGGCCTTAGACTTTATGCAAAAAAACTATAACGAAAGCCTGGGGGCACCAAAGGTGCCCAAAGTCCAATGGTCAGATGTTGGAGGCCTTACAGATGTCAAAGATGAAATTATTAAAACCATAAATTTGCCTTTAAAACATCCAGAATTATTTGAAAATTCTGGATTAACAAGATCAGGGTATTTTGCTGTTTGGCCCTCCAGGTACTGGTAAAACCTTATTGGCCAAAGCTGTAGCTACCGAGTGTAGTTTGTGTTTTTTAACTGTGAAAGGCCCAGAGTTGCTCAACATGTACGTTGGACAATCTGAACAGAATGTCAGAGAAGGTTGGTGTAAAAACTAGATTAAAGCTTAAATAATTTAAGATTTTTAGTTTTTGAAAAGGCACGTCAAGCATCCCCTTGCATTATATTTTTTGACGAATTAGATTCTTTGGCTCCAAACAGAGGACTTTCGGGTGATTCCGGGGGAGTAATGGATAGAGTAGTTTCGCAATTGTTAGCTGAAATGGATGGACTAAATGCTGCTGGCAAGGTTTTCATTATAGGTATTATTATTATATACTTAGGTATGTAAATAATATTGAAACTTTAGGGGCTACAAATAGGCCAGACTTAATAGATCCCGCACTATTAAGACCTGGAAGATTCGACAAGTTGTTGTATGTGGGCCCTTGCACCGATTTGGAATCGAAAGTTTCTGTTATGAAAGCTTTAACTAGAAAGTTAGTACATATAAATGTCATATTTTAGGTATTTTATGTGTTTTTTTTTTTTAGATTTGTATTGTCTAAAAGAGTCAATTTACAAGAAATTGTAAAAAATTGTCCCACAAACATTACAGGGGCTGATTTCTATGGTATTTGTTCCACTGCTTGGTCTTTAGCTGCAAAAAGGCTTATAGAGGCAATTGAAAAAGGAGCCAGTGATAGTAAAAATGATGTTGTAGTGGATGTTGAAGATTTCGCAATGGCAATTAAAAATGTGAAACTCTCCATAAGCGAGCAGGATTTGAAATATTTTGAGAATTTAAGAAATGAGTTGAGTTCTAATGTTTCCAGGAAGAATTGTTGAAGTTTGTGTTTTTTTTTTTGATTAAATTCTTTGTTATTTTACCATTGATGTTTAGTTGAATTCCCATCCGCTTTTTAATATTCTGGTTGTCTGTCAAAATTGGTACAATAGTAGACCTAAGTATAATGTTCCTATTTCAAAAAGGAATAGACAAAAATTGAGAAATAGATTCTTTGGAAATAGCTAAGTCCTCCAAACAAAAGTGTGTCGCTTGAATGTCCACTGAAAGTCCGATGGATGTCCAATGGACAAATTCTGGATACCAAATGGATGTGCTATATTTTTTATACAACTATTAAAGAATTCATTTAATGCAACTCGATTTTTTGATTATGGAATAGCTCCATTCCATTACTAGTGAAAGAATATTTATTCCAATACAGGTTTTTTCAGAGCTCAAATACGAACTTCAATTGTGACAATAATACTTATTGTCACAAGAAAAAAATAAAACAAAAATCCCTAATTAAAAATATAATATATTTTCCTTTACACACAGTGCATAATAAACATTACAGTTTTACAATTATCATTAAAAATACATTATTTTTGAGCCTCAAATAGCTACAAAGCTGCACCATCAATTTACTTTACAGTCTTCTTCATTGAAAGGCACATAATAAAAATTTCATAAGGGGAAAAAATCATCCCTATATCACAAAATTGTTACCAGGTTCAAAAAACAATTCGATTATCATCAAGTACCGTGTTGAAATTCCCTATAACCTTCGGCACCGGTAAAAACAACATCGACCCATATCCTCATTGCTTCAGGCGAAGGTGCCATAAGGTAGTAGAGCCTCTCGTGAGTTTTTACTATGAAGGTTAAATGCGGGTTGGGAGATTTTACTGTATTGAGGTGATCAAGGTAGACTTCTTCAATAGCCTAAAGGAAATTGAATTAGAATGTTTGTTGTATCAAATAAAGCAATAGATACCTGAAAATATGCACCTCCTCTGGCTTTTTTCTCGCTTTTATCCGTGTAATAAGTTAATGTGTGCTTGTTTCGGTCAAAAACAAACCATCTTCGAGACCAACCATTCAATTTGGAACCTTTTTTGTGCAAAAAACCTCTGCACGTGCTTGAGTTGATGATGACATGAGGACAAAGCACCACTTGATGACCTAAAATAAATCAATTAAAACAGTTGTTGAGGAGTTATTGAGAATTTCTTACCAGCTGATTCAATATGATGTCTTAGATCGAGATCCGAGCCTCTGATTGGTAGATATCGAGTCAAAGGACGTTGTTTGTCGCTGATTGGCTTGTTGCGTTTTTTGCTGAGGGTGTCCAAGCTCATTTCGCTGATTTCTGATAGGGGACGGGCAGGAGATCCGGTAACATCATCTTTGAGCTTTAAACAATTGAAATTTTTGTTAATTTATTATACCCCAAAACAAAATCTGGATATAATTTAATTCAGCCCAGTGGCGGCTCGTCGTATAAAGCAACTGAGGCTGGGCCTCACATGTAAAAATTACAATAATGATGTAAAATTTTGAAATGATATTTACTAAATATTTAATGTTTTTCAACTATTTTCAATCATTAAAAGTATCAAAACATCGAATTTTCATCAAGTATAATACTATGATGCCATGGCACTCCCCGCCACAACCCTTCAACTGTAGGTGAGACGATAGCGAATTCTTATAGGCATTGAGGCGCACAATTTTGAGCTTGTTAATAAGAAACTTTGCATCTCTTGCTGTTGCGACAAGTAGCAAATGCCAGTGAGTGATTTAATTGGCTTATACTTTTTATTTTGGTCTGTTGCGGGTTAAAAAACTGTTTTTTGGAATTTATTTTGTTAATTTGAAACTCAATATTTGTATTAAAATAAGAATTATGTACTGCTGTCATAGGCGCAACTAGGGGGGTGCTTGGGGGTGCTAAGCACCCCTAAAGCAAAAATTAGCACTCCTATTCGGCATCCCACCATAGCACTAACCTACCTAACACTTATATAAAAAATTAATGCAGCCAAATTATTTTATGTATTTTTTTTTGCACTTTTTGTACTTACTTACGTCATCAATGACGTCATAATTTAGAAAAAAATATTTGTCGTTGATTAATTCATAGAGCACGTTCACAATTATTATTGTTATGGAATAAATATTTTCAACCGGGGCCGGTATTACAATATTACCTTAAAATCAAGACTTACCCTAAAGTTTAGGGTTTTTATGTTATATTTAGAATGACGTCATCGAACAAGGTTAGACAATGTTGTCAATGTCTATGCAGTGTTGCCAATCTGAGCTTGTGAAATTACACGATATGCTGGTCAAATTACACGTTTTTACACGCTCTCAGTCTCACAATTACACGATTTTTACACACGATCTTGGCACCTATTTCGTAACACCAAGAAGCAAGTATCATATTTTTTGTTGTTGTGATTTATGATTTTGGGAAATGGATTAAATCCAGTCAAATCTGAGGGTATATGCTCCTGACACTACAGTCTAGCCTAGCGCCGCCGCCATACCAAAGCACCAGTGATAACGTAGCGTGTCGCTTCTCGTCTTGACGTAGAGTGTTTGCACCACAGTTAAATAATATTTTTCCTACGAGCGTGCGCAAAGTAGTACTTTTCCGCACGCATTTTCGTTCTCAAAGTTACACTTTTCCGCACTCAGTGCGGATACGGGCCTTATCCGCACTGAGTGCCGAAAAGTAAAAATAATTGTCAAGCAACAATAAGTGCACCTGTCGACTTTCACACATGATGACAAATTTTTCCTGTTTCTATATCAGCCAATATCTATACAAACACTGAATACCTATAATTAACTTTGACACATTGTCAGATTTGTGTTCTCCATTTACATGCAAGAATTTCTTTCGCATCAAATTTAAACGCTTTAAGATGAACAGCTCTGAAGAGGATTTCAGTTTTCTGTTATTCTTTTTTTGTTATGTAATTTCTTGATAAATGAATAGGTTCGCTTCAGGTTAATTGAAAATAATTGAACAAATTATCGTTTTTTTTTTTTAATTTTTGTTGTTACCTACCTGATATGAAGCTCGTAGGAAAAATTTTGTTCCTAACACGTGCGCAAAGTGTCTTTTCCGCACGCAAACACTTATCCGAACTCCGCTTCGCGTCGTTCGTATAACTGTGTTTGCGTGCGGAAAAGTAACACTTTGCGCACTTGTTAGGAAAATAACTATTTCCTACGAGCGTGCGCAAAGTAGTACTTTTCCGCACGCATTTCCGGGCTCAAAGTTACACTTTTCCGCACTCAGTGCGGATACAGGCCTTATCCGCACTGAGTGCTGAAAAGTAATTATAATTGTCAAGCAACAATAAGTGCACCTGTCGACTTTGACACTGATGACAAATTTTTCCTGTTTCTATGTCAGCCAACATCTATACAAACACCAAATATAAATTAACTTTGACACATTGTCAGATTTGTTCTCTATTTATATGCAAAAATCTAGAAACTTTCTCATCAAATTTAAACGCTTTAAGATGAACAGCTCTGACGAGGATTTTCTGTTATTTTTTTTTGTTATGTAATTTTTTGATAAATGCATAGGTTTTCTTCAAGTTAATTAAAAATAATTAAACAAATTATCGATTTTTTTTTTAAATTTTTGTTATTACTTACCTGATATGAAGCTCGTAGGAAAAATGTTGTTCCTAACACGTGCGCAAAGTGTCTTTTCCGCACGCAAACACGTATCCGAACTCCGCTTCGCGTCGTTCGTATAACTGTGTTTGCGTGCGGAAAAGTAACACTTTGCGAACTTGTTAGGAAAATAACTATTTCCTACGAGCGTGCGCAAAGTAGTACTTTTCCGCACGCATTACCGTTCTCAAAGTTACACTTTTCCGCACTCAATGCGAATACGGGCCTTATCCGCACTGAGTGCCGAAAAGTAAAAATAAAACTTTTCTCAAACAGTGGTACTTTTGGGTTAAACCCAAACGAACTGAATTTTGATCGGCCTTTGGACGTTCACCATTTAGCACAGCAAAATTGCGTGTAGTGTTGATTACTGGTCCTAGATGGCGTCAAGATCAAGATTCGCTCTTCGTAAAAATAAATGTCAAGCAACAATAGTTGTATTCCTTTCACACCTAGGAGAAGCTCCGGAACAGCTCCTGGGCTTCACGCGCTTATTCCTTTCGAAAAGTGTTTGTTGCACCACGCATCTGTTCCCTGCAAATCGGGGGCGACTAAAAGCCGTATCAGACGTGCCGTTACCGTCGCGGTTGCAATCACACTTGACACTGTTCCGTTACCGATTACTGGTCACTTGGAATGTTTATAACGTCAAAATGTCGCAGCTAAAATATTCAAAGTACAGCGCCGAACGTCGTCGGAAAGTTTCTTCTGCGTTGCTGTGCTATATGGTTATATTGGAAGAAGAGGAAAGAGAAAGATCCAAACAAAATCGGTTTGGGTGCAGGGTGCAGTACCAGAAGCGATAAATTGAAAAATAAAAAAGTGACGTTTAGACCCATGACACATGCTGTTCATAAAGCGCTTTCATTGGCTACGGTTCAGAACGACCTCGTAAAATTTAGACTCCAACCTGAACATACAACGGCAATCGCAACCAGAAGCAGGTACATTTTGATTGGTCGAATTCCCAATCGTAATCGTTAATAGTAATCGGCAACGGCACGTCTGATACGGCCTTAAGCACCGGAGCGAGTAGAGTCCGCGTCAAGAGTAAAGAGTATGGTGTCGTCATATGCGCACAAACCCAATTTAGAAGACTAACCGAACTATCGTATCGATCGGTGCTGCTGCCGAACGGCAAGCACGCGGTTCATTGTCGTACGGCCAGCAGGCATATTTATTTAGTTTATTTTCTATCCAAGTTTTGTCTAAAAAGATACCCCGCTGCTGGTTTCAGCTCACGGCCGAGGTCACGGCAGACAGCGAGAGATAGACGAGGGAGAGAGATCCGACCCGCTTCGCGCAGCTTTTTATGTCGTCACCGTAGTCTTTACTGCTGACGCGGACTCTAGCTCGAGTGTTTCAAACTCTTGAAAGGAATACAACTATTAAGTGCACCTGTCGACGTTGACACATGATGACAAATTTTCCCTCTGTTTCTATATCAGCCAACATCTATACAAACACTGAATATAATTAACTTTGACACATTGTCAGATTTGTGTTCTCCATTTACATGCAAGAATCTACAAACTTCTTTCGCATCAAATTTAAACGCTTTAAGATGAACAGCTCTGACGAGAATTTCAATTTTCTGTTTTTTTGTTATGTAATTTTTTGATGAATGAATAGGTTCGCTTCAAGTTAATTGAAAATATTTGAACAAATTATCGTTTTTTTTTTTTAATTTTTGTTGTTACCTACCTGATAAGAAGCTCGTAGGAAAAATTTTGTTCCTAACACGTGCGCAAAGTGTCTTTTCCCCACGCAAACACTTATCCGAAAAAACTGTGTTTGCGTGCGGAAAAGTAACACTTTGCGCACTTATTAGGAAAATAACTATTTCATCATCAATGTATATTCTTAACTACGACCGCTGACGCAAACTGCTAACGTTGCTGTTGCCGTGATGTCGGCAACGGTGCAACACCATATGAACTTGATTCTAATAATCGAGTTCGATAAGCAAGTGTGTATTGTCCTTGGCCATAATGGTGGCAAACAGCTGACGACTTCGTTAATGACGTCGACAATGGTGCTATACCATATATAACCGCGATTACCAAAAACCAGACCGATAAGCAATGTATGTATTATCCTTGGGCATAAGGGTAGTCACATGACAGACTCTTTGACAGACAAAAGATGATGGAATGGAATGCAAGGGAAGAGAAAACGTCGTATTCATGGCTGTGTTCTTTTTTTAACTGGCAGTACTGAATTTCCGCTGTGCGGTTTTTACTGTATTTGTCGTTTCTTTTTCAACCAGCCGCTGTATTACTGCTTGATTTTGGAACGAATTTCAGCAAATTATTGACATTCGACCGGAGACAAAGCTGACCTAACCTAACAACATGTTTATTAGGCAGTTCGAATCAGCTGATAATTCAAGATGGCGATGCGGCACAAATGTAAACAAACCATTGAGGTTAAATATGCCTCCATATAAACACAGATATAAATGTGTGTTATTTCACTTATTTCTACTTGTTTCAGAATTTAATTTAATGAATTTTAATTTATTTCAATTTCCTTTAATGTTCGTAGTTACTTGGAATATTTATCTATATACCTGGACATCAGGTACAAAACGAGCCCCAAGTAGGTAGAAAGGCCTAAATATAAGTTACATCAAGATGATTTTCTTCATCTCCGATCAGTTGTTCGTGTGCTCCAGAACTGTAAGCAGTCTGAAACATATAGTTCATAA